ACTTGGGGTCTAGCGAGAATGATTACAGGAATATAGGGCGTACAAAATCGACATTTTTCAAATTTAGGATTTTTTTGCGTTGAAACTATTCAGTATTGGTCAAAACGGCTTACATGTCCCTATCTCAACATTTGATTTACAATCTACTGACATTTAATTGGAACAGATACTACAAATGGTGACCAGAGTTCTGAATCTTGAACCATCCAGTATTTGTTCCAAACCGAAAGATAATATAGGGACATGTAAGTCGTTTTGACTATTAATAGTTTCGACACAAAAAGAAACCTAGAATTGAAAATTATCGTTTTGATGTACGTTGATCGTATCTTGGAGCAGCCATTTTTTTTAATTTCAACAAAAATGGCGGACAAGATTTGGTCCGATTCTATTCAAAATTGTTGAGTGGGAGTTTTTGAGGTCGGAGATCATGAATTTTTTGTTAAAATTTATAAATTCAAGATGACGGCTTCCAAATAATTTTTTGTTTTTGTTTAAATGACGATAACTCCGTTGTTATCAACACAAAACTATCACTGCGAAATATCATCTGCAAGAGAAAAAAAAGTTATTTGTAACTAAGTCATAGTGAGCTATGACCTACATTTGAAAAACTAAGGTTGATGCTGATATCTCAAATTCTAGAAGCTGTGGTATAAATTCCATATTTTTTTCGAAATCACTTTGAAAAAGTGCAACGAGAATGTGAAATCTCCATTTGAATATTTTCATAAATAAAGAAGCTACGGTAGGAGACATGAAAATGATCAAAATCTGTTTTTTGCGTATAAAACAAAAACGAATAGATTTAATCAAAATATATTTTCACATTATAGTTGGCATTGAAAAACTCCACATTTGGTGTCATTTAACCGACCTCGTATCTCTCACCGTTGAAAAGATACCCATGGTGAGCATGGTAAAAATGGGACACACTGTATATATAATATGTTTTTCTCATACCGTATAATATGGCTATTTGTACCCTGAAATTTCTCAATAATATTGAAATCCATAGGTCATTTCCAAGACGTCATTTTGACGTCTTAATATGACGTCGTATGGCTGTGACATTTTGACATCTTTTCGAGGTCTTCAAGACGTCATTTTTTGACGTCAATTGGTCAGTTTTGTGACCAGATTTGGACATCCTTCGAACGTCACTGAGCTACCTCTAGGCCTATACCTATACTGACTGTAACATTGGAAATTTCGTATGGACATTTTCAAACTCACTATCGCAGCTGCCTTCGAAAGTTTATTGCGATAATTGCAACCGAACTTCCAAAAATCAAAATGTCAACTTATTTCATGTCAAATAGCTGTCAGCCGATATTGCGCTGCTATGGTGATTATCATCTGCATTTATCAAAACAATATCTCTCGAGATTTCATAGTAACAGTGACAACAACGTTGTGACACTTCCCAGCCTAGTCCGGGAAGTGAGTACTTACCGGATATTAGGCCAGAAAAATATTAATTTCTCAAAGAAAAAGCGTCCGGGAAGTGAGCACTTCCTGGACGGTTGCCGAAAAATATTTTCTTCCGGTTTATGCTACATAACCTCACATTTTTATCCCTCTTATTTTTCGCCGGGTCATATATTAACCCTAATGGCGGAATATGGCGCATGTTCAATGTTTTTTTGGGAAGGTGTGTACTTCTTGTGATTTGAAACCCTCATTCAAAATGTATTTTCAGTTTCATTCTTGGTTTATGAGGGGTTGTGCAAAAAATCATGCAATCGTCTTAATTATTGAATAGTTGAACGTGGGGATTTAAAACACCATAATACCTTACTATATTTATTACTATTCATTTACAATGCAGTCATGATCAAATATCATATGGAAAATGAGCCCCTAGAATATTCTCATTGTATTTTCCGAGTCAATCCAATCACCAACTTGTTGATACAACGCACAACATGGTTTATTGATTTTCCCGAGGGAGGAAAATGCGCAGTAGAGACATTTCCCGACCGGCAGGAATCCTCCAGTCTGTACCATGAAAGCACGATAAAAACAACGAAATGGAAGATTTGATTTTGAACATCATCAAAGAAGCGTCAGCTGCCAAGCTGACCTACCTGAAACAAAAGGCACAAGAAGCACATGGTGAGTTGATGAAATGCCACGATCAGAGCTTCCATTTATGATGAATTTGTTTTTTTGTCGACTATTTATAAACGAGTTCAGTTTCAATAGTTATTTATGTTCATTATTCCGAATTTTTTGGGATTTTCTCTCCTCGTTTCTATAAAATAAAAATATGAATATTATTTCAATATACGTGTAGTAAGGACAAATCAGATGATTTGCCCCAAAATGTCACTGCGTTTAAAGAATTTTCCTATCAGAGAGCCTAAAAGAAAAATTCACTAGCTTGTCAGTGACAATTTGTATTGAAAAAATTTTTGGAGAAGGGAAATAAAGGTATATAGAAAAATATCAAATTTTCACTTATCTTTGGACGTTTCGGGACCGGTTCTGCTCCCGTTTTCAACATGAAAAGAGATTATTTCAATAGCGAAGTCGTAAAATGTCTTGAAGCTTTTCAGTTTTCAATGACAATTGGTGACGTTGGCAATCAAATGAGTTACAGGATGTTTTCATTAATTGATCTTGAATTTACCATTTTCATGTTCAGATTTTAGTAGTGAATACCATGTTCTGTCTATATCAACTGAACAAGAAGCAATGCTATTGTCTCCGTTCAGAAGAATGCAAGCAGATTCTTTGATTTTCCTCTTCTGGTTGTTATCTTCTTTTCCAATAATTTTAATATTATTCCACTCTGCCATATGTTGTCCGTCTTCAGTAAGAATATGTTCAGCTAGTTTCGATTTATCGATGTTTCTTTTCTTTATATTGTACTTATGTTCTTTCGTCCTCACTGAAAGAGGTCTCTTGGTTTCACCTGTATAAAACTTTCCACAAACACAAGGTATACTGTAAATACAATTTTTTGACGATTTTTCTTCATTTTTCGGCTTTGTTTGAGTTAGAATTGATCTCATTGTATTTTCAGTTTTGAACACAGTTTTCACTTGAAATTTATCACCAACACGTTTGATTTTTTCAGATATGCCGGGAATGTATGGTATTATATTTGTCGTTATTGATGGTTGATTTTGTTGTGGTTGACCCTGTTTGTTTTCAATTTGATGAATCGTCCTATCGACAAAATTCTTTGGATAAGAATTGAGTTGGAGAACATTTTTAATGTGGTGGACTTCGTTATTGAAAATTTGTTGGTCAGATGATATTGATTTGGCTCTATCATGGAGTGATTTGATTATTCCTTTCTCAATACTTTTCTAACTCAAACAAAGCCGAAAAATGAAGAACAATCGTCAAAAAATTGTATTTACAGTATACCTTGTGTTTGTGGAAAGTTTTATACAGGTGAAACCAAGAGACCTCTCTCAGTGAGGACGAAAGAACATAAGTACAATATAAAGAAAAGAAACATCGATAAATCGAAACTAGCTGAACATATTCTTACTGAAGACGGACAACATATGGCAGAGTGGAATAATATTAAAATTATTAGAAAAGAAGATAACAACCAGAAGAGGAAAATCAAAGAATCTGCTTGCATTCTTCTGAACGGAGACAATAGCATTGCTTCTTGTTCAGTTGATATAGACAGAACATGGTATTCACTACTAAAATCTGAACATGAAAATGGTAAATTCAAGATCAATTAATGAAAACATCCTGTAACTCATTTGATTGCCAACGTCACCAATTGTCATTGAAAACTGAAAAGCTTCAAGACATTTTACGACTTCGCTATTGAAATAATCTCTTTTCATGTTGAAAACGGGAGCAAACCGGTCCCGAAACGTCCAAAGATAAGTGAAAATTCGATATTTTTCTATATACCTTTATTTCCCTTCTCCAAAAATTTTTTCAATACAAATTGTCACTGACAAGCTAGTGAATTTTTCTTTTAGGCTCTCTGATAGGAAAATTCTTTAAACGCAGTGACATTTTGGGGCAAATCATCTGATTTGTCCTTACTACACGTATATTGAAATAATATTCATATTTTTATTTTATAGAAACGAGGAGAGAAAATCCCAAAAAATTCGGAATAATGAATGTACCACCTCCTCGATTAACCTACAGACAGTAGTTATTTATGTATTGAGAACTCAATAAATTAATAAGAAGGCTTTTATGGTCCGCAGCATGTAAGCTAGGTCCATAGAAGCAAGTTATATGTCTGAAATACATACAAAATTTAATGTACGAATGTTTCAGACATTTATTTATTGTCAATGTGGCATTAAACTCTAATGATTATAGGTTCACTTGACCAAACTATGTAGACTACTGTCGGAGAAAGATCGAATAATAGTCTACTAGAAATAACTGAAGAAAACAGTGAAATTATTCCTCAATCACTCTATGGCACTAAAGTCCTACTTTACGCCCGCGAATCCGGCCGATAAAGTAGCATTTAACGCCGGGTCGTGCACAATAGTTATTTATCCACGACTGTTGTATAAAATATTCACCATAAATGTACTTCCTCAAGCAAAACGGTAACCATTTTTCATGCCAGTGAATAAAAGCAGTGAATAAAGATAATCCACTGGTCTAGAGTTTCTAGGAGTGATATTCTTTTATTCTGACTTACTGACACATTCCACTTGAACTGAACTGAATCAGTTGACATGCATTGTACATAATGAACGTAATCCGAAAGAACGATTCAGTTCATGTTCTAGAGAAATATTTCAGTTAGTTCAGATTGAAAGAATATTACAAGGGTACAAAAAGCATCAAATCCAGTTCAGTTTCCCCTCCTCTTCACGATCACTTTAATGAACTCTAGGACGTTCCTTTATGACCTACAACAGCCTTTTTAGTTCCTAAGAGCTAAAATTCAACTTCAGCTCCCAGGAACTGAAAGTGTTGCCTAGCAACATATCTATGCTTGTGTCAGTAATAGAAACGTCCATTGAAGAACTAAATTTGGTATTAAAATGTACGACTTTTGTGTCGGTTGCAGAAGAAGGAAATTATTGCTTTATGTGTTCAATAAAAATTGCAACTCATCATTTGTTACAGACTTGCTGGCAGCACAAAACAACCTACTCAGGAATCCCTCTCACGAACTGAGGGCAGCATGCTTTTTGCCTCTGAAGTTGGCTTTGGAAAGCAAAAGAAGCAAGCTTGTTTCACTGTCTCTAACCGGATTGAATGTGAGTTGATTTTTGTGAAACCTTTGGACAGGATTTTATTCAATTTTGGTTATACATAGACACACATATTTTCAGTAGTCGTTCTAGTAGTTTATGCCGAAGACAGTGGAAAAATGTTTTAATAACTATTTATTAAATAGTATGAAAAAGTTGATGAGTGATTAAACATCTAGTACCAATTTTGATGGTTGTCAAAATTCAAACAAATCACACGAATAAAAAGACTGTTTGGATGAATTATCATCGTTAAGTCTTTGAGTTCTGTTTCTGTCTCCTCTCCAAAACCACAGATTGATATGAATAGCTGTCAATTAGTGAATTCTTTGTAATTCCGTTCTATTATTTGGGTTATATATGTTATATAAAAAGTATGCGGATTATTTATCCACAAATCACATAATGTTCAAGCTGTTCAATAAAGTCCGAAAGTGTACAAGAGATATTGAATTACAATGAATATCGGCTGACTGACAAAAAACGCCCCAAGCCATAGCGCTGCTATTGATGATTCGATTTCGAAAGCATATCAAATGACTCATCAGATACTACAAGATGGTATTGGAATTTCATTTCCACAATTTCAACCCTAACGTCAGCGATTGTTAACTTTCAAAAGAAACATATATCTTAATTTTTTTCTGAAAGAGATTATCCATCTGAATACAATGATGTATAACAAGTTGATTTTTGCTCAACATTACTTGACAAGAATCAATGCTCTGCCGACAAGAAATTGATCTTTTCATTACATTGTCTATCATTGAGTCGTGGCAGTAGATGTCTTAGAATCAACTATAGCCATGAGCTGGGAGACTCAGATGTACACAACGCAGCCTGGCTCAAATTCTCTAACAAAACAGATGATGCAGGTCGTTGAACTGGGGCCTTCGCCATCAATCATGGTCAAGAACAACTAGTCGAACTACCAACCCGCATTCCAGATATCAACAACCAATCTACCAATACACTAGATCTTTTTCTCAGCAGCAATCCTGATCCATATAGGATAAAAGTTTGTGCCCCACTTGGAAACTCTGACCACATCCTCATCTCCACAACCAGCCTTTTCCATGTACCATCCAGCACCACAATTCCTACTCGTCTCATGTGGCTACAATTCGGCCGACTGGAAAGGTCTTCATATGTTTTTTCCAGCGTTTCAATGGAAGAGAGTTTGTTTCTCCTGAGCAGATCCAACACTGCGAGGAGAACATATTCCGATAAGGCCTGGTTCAGTAGAAGCTGCTCTAGATCTGCGCCAAGCAGGCGACATTCCATCGATGGCAGAAAAATTCAGGCCCTGAGACTAGAGCAGAATATGTCGAGGCTAGAGGCATATGAGATGAGGCGATTCGATCATCAAATGATGCTCATAATGCCAAAATGAGATCAGAACTTGTTGAATGTCCTAACGGATCCCGTTCATTTTGGTCCTTCGCCAAAGCTGTAGGAAGAAACTTCACTTCCAGCTCGTTTCCTCCTCTAACCAAGGAAGATGGAACACTATAGCCACAAGTGCCCAGGAGAAAGCCAACATTTTCGCGTATTTATTTGCTAGAAATTCCACTCTGGATTCATCGAGAAAACAACCTCCGAACATAACGCCAATTGACAGTCAACCGACTCCGACGGAATCCCACCGATTGTTCTCAAGAAATGTGCTTCCAAACTAACACCTGTTCCTGCAAGTTGTTCAACTACTCTTACCAATTGGGGATATTTTCGTCCAACTGAAAAATTGCAAGAGTACAACCAGTTCCTAAAAAAGGCAGAAAGGCCCTACCTAGCAACTACAGACCGATCGCACTGCTATTATTTCAAAGATCATGGAGAAAGCTGTCAACATCGAGCTCATGAAATATCTGGAACATTCAGGTATTATCAACGATAAGCAATATGGCTTCCGTCATCAGAGTGTGACCTGCTCGCTTACGTCTCACAGATATGGCAGCAATCTATTGAAAAATTTAGTGAAACAGCCGTGGCATATCTCCAAAGCATTCGATCGAGTCTGGCACCACAGATTCCTCGCCAAGCTTCCAAATTATGGCTTGCCTCTCCAGCTATGTTCTCTGCTAGCTAGTTTTCTCTCATACAGGTCTCTCCATGTAGTGGTCGACGGAGTTTCATCTGACTCTCTTACCATAAATGCTGGTGTTTTGCAAGGATCAATTCTAGCACCAACACTATTTCTAATCCATATCAACGATTTGTTGGAAGCAACTTCATGTCCAGTACACATCTTCGCGGATGATAGTACCCTCCATACCGCCTTCTCTTCCAAGGCCCCAATATAAGCCAAGCAAATCAGGAACGTACGAGGGAGAAATGCTGTCAACATAAATATGGGCTTAGCAACAATTCTTGAATGGGGATCCAATAACTTGGTAGATTTCAATGCAAACAAAACACAAGCATGCCAATTCTCTAGAAAAGCTGTCAGGACCAACCATACCTTTGAAGACATCCAACCTTTCTTGGGAAAATCACGTAAGATCAATTGCGAAAAGTGCATCACAAAAACTTGGTTTTCTGTTTCGGGCCAGGAGCTATTTCACTTCCAGTCAGCTGCTTATGATCTATAAGGCACAGATCCGACCTGTCCGCACCCAAACATACCCTGAAACTGTTGGATTCTGTCCAAAAAAGGGCAATTTGTCTCGTGGGTGATGCCTTGCTCGCAAACTCACTCACTTCACTGGAACACCGCAGAAAAGTTGGCGATCTGGCTCTATTTTATAGATATCTTCATAGACGATGCTCTTCTGAAATATCAACAATTGTACCTCCCTTGGCAGTCCCCGCGAGATTAACCCGTCGAGTTGAGGCTTCGCACCCCTTCGTGGTCACTTTGGTGACCTGCAGAACATCTCTTTCCAAAGACTCGTTCATCCAGCGAACAGTGAGGCTCTGGAACACATTGCCAAAGGAGGTTTTTCCCGAGGCATATAACCTCCAGAAATCCACGATGTTCTTAGAACATTATAGGATGCCCTTTCTCGTGGAAACCAGAACATTAAAACAAATTATTCCTGACTATCATTCGTAATTAGCACTCTTATAATCTACACCTAATCCGACAGAAACTGTTCATGGAATGAATAAAACACAAGAAACATGTAGATTTATGTTCAGGTCATCAGTGATATACCTAGCGACATATCTGTTCAGGAAGTAGAACTCCATAAACTTACTCGAGCTGGCACGTGTCACGAATTCCACGTTTCATCTTTCTTCCAGAAAATAATAAGAGACGAGCGCTTCCAATCGGGTCCCGAGCCAGAAGACGACTCCTTGTGGCTGCCCGCCCAACTCCTGTTCGCCACCTCGTCCACGCCTGCGCAATGCGAGGACACGCAGGTCCACGTGCTGCGCGTCGTGCTGAGTCTCGCGTGCTCAGCTGGATGGGCGCTCAACGGACGGCTCGTCATGCTGATGCTGGGCAGGTGCGCAGAAGCGTACGACGCTGGTACGCAGCCGGTGAGGGCGGCTGCGCAAGCTGCGGCCAGTCAGACTCTCACGGCGTTCTGCACGTTTTTGGGTGAGTATTCAGTCAGGGCCATAGACAAACCAAAAATAAAGAGACTTTTCAAAACATAGGAAATTTTTACCATCAAGTTTGTGCGCAACCCAGTCGCGCATGGAGGCGCTGCTCGCAATCGACAAACGACTCATGACATGAAACATTTCGAATTTCGACATTCGACAGTACGACAGTATAAGGCCTGTTCGTTTGTGTTTGCTCTGCTTGCTAAACCTAATTTTTTTTCTATGACTTTCTCTGTTTATATCATGCTATGAACAGAGACAACTATGGAGAAACATCAACTTTAGCAAGTTCTATTTTAGAACAAAGAAACAGACCTATGGAATACAATATTGTTTATTTTCCGAGTTGATGTTGATACTGAAATTCACTGAAATTCGAGTTTCTCTTTCACATTTCTTTCACATTTATTTTACTTCATTTCCGAGTTTATTTCTATTATTGACAAGGTGAAATTGATAATATTCATGTAGGTTGCACGTAGGTACATTTTTCTAGAAACATAAGTGATATTTTTTCATTCTAAACTAATCGAAATATTTCAATTGAACTGAACTGAATTAAACATACATTTTATCGAATTGAAGTAGGTATTTCGAAAGAGCTCATCTTAACTATTTCAGTTTTATGTAATATTTCAGTTATATTTCAGATTGAAAGAATATCGCAGATGTAAAAGTGTGGTGAGATGTCAGGCAAATACAAGTGTGCAAGGAAGTGTTGAATAGCTTGATAATACCTATAAAAATGCCAACAAAAATTGTGAAGACGATGTGAGTACCATATTGGATAATCTCAACTCATTTTTAACTTGCCCAGTGGAGCCAGGGCCATCATCAGTTCTTGTCAATGAGTTGAATGAATTTGTTATTCCAAATTTCGATATTGTGTTTTCTGACTCAGAATTTGACACTCAGGCAACATAATATAGCAGGACAGAGTTAGTTATTCATTTATTTATAATTGTCATCATTAATTTTCATTATTTTTGTTAATTTTTTTGTTTTTGTATGTCTAGTCATTATCAGGCTGAAGAGTTTATATCTTATTTTGTTTTTTTTTCAGTGTTTTATTTACTTATTGTTTCATAATATGTAGTTCTCTAGTCTTGGATGGAATAAAATATTTTTTTTACAGTTTTTTCATTTTTTTTTGTAATTTTCCTGATTAATACAAATTTTGAAAGTGCAGGTTTGAAATAAACCGCCTTATCTCAATCGGTAACTAGGGAATCTGTTTTATCGATCATAGTGTAACTAGTTCCACCCAGTTGCCAAGTGTGTCGCTCTAAACGTGGTGCCAACTTTTACTGCAGGTTTGACAAATCTCTTTTCTTTTCCTTTCTCTATGGTCAGGGCCTACTCTATCTCACCGGACCGCGTATTTCCTAAATCTAATATATGCGGAAAGGACCCCGCACTTTTAGTACGTAAAATGGTTCTCGGTGAAATTTTCTGAATTTTCAGTATGTCGTAGAATTCGATGAACTGATTGAACCTGTAGAATCGTAAAGTTCTTTGATGAACAGATTCTGAGATACAGGGCGTTGAAGTTACAAATCGGTATTTTTCATTTAATTATTTTCTCGAAATTCAAAGATGCCAAGTACAATTTTTTTCGCTCATATCATCAACGAACCTCCATATTACTCAACATAATTCAGATGGTTCAGATAATGTAATTGTTTACAGAGTGAAACATATAAACATTTCAGTGATATCTGAAAATTCGATGTAATAATGAAATATGATTCGGTCTTTCACGCTTCCATTTCTAATAGGGAGAGTTGAATCCTGGAATCATTCTCCCATCTCCTAGGTAGATATTCAACTCGCGCTCTTCGTTACCCTGAAACATTTTTTTCTTAGTGGTTAGGTTTCCAGTGGATTCAAGTTTACTGTTCAATTTTTGAAAAGTTCTTCTATTAGGTAAAGCTCGTTCAGGGTATAATCGGGCATATTCTCTCCGAGCTAGAATGTTCAATCAGAAATTATATATTTACCTGATGAATTTTGTAATTGTTTACCCTCTGAAGCGTTTTTGTTATTTTTTATGTATAAAGACATAATATCATATCTTTCTGCGATTGTAAACATTTCGACAAATTACGACACACAAAATAACTAAACAGTTTTCTAACGTATTTTGTGATGGTAACATGAGGACACGACATGTCAAATAGTTTCGGTTTCAAAGCTTACTTGATTTATTTTGATGCCATCACACACAAATTTTGGTTCTAGACCACAAAAATTGTAATTAACGAAAAACAGTAAGAGATAACATACTGTATATTTATATATTTGTGATCGCAAAAAATCACAGATCTCGAAAAAAATATAAAAAACAGGGTGTTCCATTTAAAAAAATTGATTTGTGGTTTGCCACGCTCTTAGGAATCAACCTGTATAACCTCTGATGAATGCCTTAGAAAGGTCCCATTGCGGAATTAAATTTCCGCATATTATTTTTTTTTAAGTGAAATTATAAGGAAAATATGGCGGTGGGCCTTCTCGATGGATAACCCTGTACAGCGCAAGTACAAGTAACGCCTCCACTCTTATTGGTCAATTCAAAATCTAATCGGTCACACAACGTACTATTTCAAAGTCTTATATGATGCAACGCAGCCACAAAACATCTTTTGAGACTTTAACATTGGACTCCTGAATGCACACGGATACAACGCAACTTGTCAAAACCTAATTCATTGTAGCACAACGTGTTCCATATCATTTTGTGTAAGTAGACCTACCTAATTTAGTTTGGAAATGTGGAATGGACGTCAACAAAACAAAATAAACTGAAACTTACGTATACGTATGCAAGTTTTCATCATAAGTCATCAAGCACAGTTCAAAGTCATTATATTAATGAATTTCAGAATTAGGTGTATTGGACAAAATGTTTACGGCCACGGAATGTGATCTCTTTGCTGGTCTACCACTTTGAACTCTTTTAGCACTAGATTATACGATCTAATGCGATCATTTCTTCTAGCACGGGCAGTTGGCTGCACTTTTAAAATCCTTCCTTCCCTGACTATAGGTCCCCTGATTACAAAAAATGTGTTCAATTGACTGCCAGTATTGATGTTTTCAATGAATTCGTTAATTTTCTGATGAAATTGATATTACAAGTTCCATTTTCCGCTAAACTGGAAATTCTATTGAACTCGCATTTCAAATCAGCCACCGCTGTTTCTTGTTCTTCGTTGATCTTATCTACAAAAAAAGTAAGGTAGCAAATTATTCTGAAAATTTTTGAAATAACTCACGAGGATTATTATTATTGTTGGCCAAATCAATTGAAACCTCTTGGGATTGGGAATAACAAAAATCCTTAGTCAAAGTTGTCATATCAAGTGGTGACTCTTCAACAGTATGGAGCATGCTTTCGAAAAAAGAGTTGTATCTTTCGCCGGTTGCAAGGTACACGAGTATATTTTCATCAACCTCCGTTGATAAAGGGCACGTTGACAGCTCTAAACCTGAGGAATTTTGTTCGGCATATAAATGTTTACAAAAAGCGCCTCCACTGGCAGTCACACAATGAACCTCTTCTACTATCACTGTATAAAATAAGTTTCGATCTATGGACGAGGAAACCAACTTCAACTATGAGATTTGACCCAAATTTCAGTTCCGAATAGTGCAAATCGTTTTCACTGTCTGTTGCTAGCATATGGTATCAAGCGCATTTTATGATAGCTGTCAAGAATGAAAGCAATTAAATCTGATAATGCTACTGCATTAAAGGCCTTGCATCTTTTTAATAAATGTCTTTCAGAATCCTTGTTGAGGATTCTTCAAAAATATTTGCATTATGTCCTCTAGTACATAATAACTTTCTGTACCAGTGGCACAACTCAGTTCTTCTTCTCCATACACATTTGATGTAATTCACAAAATAACCATACTCGCATGATGAAATTAATGTATGATAATATTCTTCGCGTTCTTCTCCAGACTGTGCAAATATAATTCGTCCAGAAATCTATCATCAATTTTCTTCTTTCATCCTTGTTTAGAGGTTATAGCGAATGCTTGAAGTCCAGATAATGACGTCCAGAAGTTACCGTCCTTGTGACATTGGAAAGACTACGTCCTTTTGACGTCATGATTCGGACAAGTGACGAACGGGACCATAAATAATGACCAGAATTATAGCGGTCCTATAGATATCATATCCGTCAGTGGCTAGACGGCTCTAGACTTACAATTTTTGAATCGAATTTGCTTCATAACTTTCAAACGGCCGATGGAATTCAACTAAAATTTTGTACATTGGACAAGCTTCATTGAGCAATGGAACCCATATCATGATTATGATGAATATCATTCCATGGGCGTAGAACTTAATTTTTTTGATGAATAAACATCTGAAACTTCGGCGCCAATGCACAGAAAGGGGTTTGAATATGATATCTGGATTGTGTATCTTGTTAACTACAAAAAACGCACTCTTGATGGAATTCGATGCCTCTCATGGTTTCGACAAAATTTGAATTTCAGAAATGCATTTGAAATGTTCATAATTTCCACGTAGACGAATTTTTATACGACGAAAAAGTTTCTGAGTCTGGGCGCTAGGTGGCTCTGGTTTACACAGTACAAAAAAAACAAGAAAAAATATCTGATACCCATATAACTCAAAATAAATGTTCTTCAGATGAGGAATGCCAAGAAATTCTGCAGCAACAACAAAAACATAAGAATTCTGGAAGCAGCGCTGAAATGGTGTATACCAAAACTTCAGCAGTATCGTGTTTCAATGAAGCCATTCCTGTTATGCAATACATCTGCAGCAAACTGGAAGAAACCAGAACGTAAGTATAATGATGAGTACTTCCATATGTACAGGATGTTCTGAAAAGAGAGGTTTTTTTTGGAGAGGATATAGAATTCTTTGAAATAGACAGATCCACCGGATATCGCTTCGATATTGGATATTAGTTGCATATTAACAAAGATATTATCTATCGATGATTCCGTGAATTTAAAAAGAATTTTATCACGGCTCCAATGGTCCTACGAATCTCTGTTCGGTAACTACCCAGACAGCAATAGATATTCCTAGGATATTCTCTGAATATGCTGAAAAAGAACATATTTCAAAGTGATATGCAGGGAATATGCAAGGGATATTCCTGCATGAATATTCAGGTAAATATTCTAAGAATATCCTAGTTGAATTGCTCAGGGAATATTCAGCTATAAATCTTCAGGATCCTGAACAAAAAGGGTCTTTCATATTGAAGTGGTCCTTAATGAGCACCATGAGTCGTATATAGTGAAATTGATAACGGCATTCAGATGAAATATAATGTGCTACAAGGCCTAATGGTCGTCGGAGACATCGGTCAGACGAACCTACAAACGAGGTGGAGTATTGAGTGGGTCGGGGGATTCCCACACTATCAAGTGGACGATTATACTCATATCATGATACTTTCATTTCATTCAGAAATCGAATAAAACCATTGAAAAGCAATGTAATATATGATAACCGCTTACTCTACACCCTGAAGACAAATGTACGCGGGGTAGTTAGCCTTCGATCCTACCAAAATGTTCGTCGAACATATCAGATTCCGTATTTGTGCTACGGCTCATCGTATCCACCCTATACGTTCCACAATGCCGTCCGTCCGAACTTTTTTCACATCATTGGAACACCGTAGAAGACATTTCACTTCTTGATAGATACTTCACGGGAAATGTTTCTCAGGAATCATCCCTTCACTACCAATACCAGTCAGACGAACTCGACAGGCCCAGTCGGCACAACTTGTCGTTGTTCACTTTGAAATATTGCGAACAACGCTCCACCAAAATTCAGTTGTCTGTAATACGGCGAAGCTTCCGAATTCTATGACAATGGAGGAATTCCCGAAGATTTATAAAATTCAAAAGTTCAAAAAAATCCTACCTCTTCTGCTCCCTATCCTCCCTAGTTATGCACGATGTTCCATAGCATATTATACGAAACTTCGTTTCGTGCACTGCACAGGACCAAGAAATAGTTACAATGTTATCATTCCGATAAAATGAACGTTATGTTCATGATTCAGCTGACCTGAACATGCATCGATGCATCGATGATCAGCTTTATCACTGCTGAATTCCAAATATATCATCTTGTATCACAATAACCTACAAGCCCCCTTGTTGCTAGCAGAAAGTTGTATTTGCTGTATGAGAGCTGACCCTCAACACTGCTTTAATTTTGGATATTGTGATCTCTCTTGAAATATTCTACCTTTATGTTTCAGATTGACGAAATCTTCGGACCAGATTGTTTTTCTTCTGGAATGTTTGCTAACTTTCGTCAATACACTACCGCAAACAGTGCATTCAAACATTCATTTCACCACATTTCTTTGGCAACGTTTCTGTCCGGCCCTGTTGGCGTTTCTGGGAACACCAGGGGACTCATCCAGACAACCATTGACCTCAGGTCAATCTAAAATAGTATACAGGTAAGTTGTTTCATGACAACTAACGCTCTTCTGGTGGTATACTTGCTCCGGAAAATATTATGCAGTGTGCTGAAATATTAGTAAATAGGCTAGAGGAGTTCTGAATCAGTATCAAATATACTTCATGATGTCTTGGAAGTAGCTCCTGAGTGGGCGTATATATTGTAGAAGGAGTGGCCAAAGTGGGGCGAGGTCATTTTAAGGCGTGAACACGCTGTATATGTCTCTTGAAAGTCAGTGCATCCAATAGCTCTGCCACCTCCTTTCGAACCAACGCCCAAAGCTGTTCTATCTCCGTCCCACTTTGCTCACGTCTTCTGCAATTCATATACCTACAGGCTAACTGATAAAAAACGCACCGAGGCGATTTCGAGATAAAAAGGCGGACAATACTAATAATATAATAAAAGTGGCCAGCGTTACCTTGTCATTGAAACGTCAGTATTCAATCCACGACCGCAGAAATTTTTCTGGTGGCCTCAGGAAGTGGAGTCATCTCTTTCGGCAATTTTGTTTTGGTATCAGTATAACACGACTTTATCACACAATGTAATTAGTGAGGAAATACATACAGGCACTGAGTGTATATATTCGTCCCAATGGAAGACGATATGAGCGGATATATGCCACGCATGATCATTTCTACACAATTACATCATTCGAAATCACACAAGCGGATTCAACCCCGATTGACATTCGAAGAAAACATTACATAATCGATTTCTAGTAGAACATAATGTGAGATGATATAAATATAGATTTGGCCTAATTTGTACATCCTGGAAACCTTTCTCATCGTACGTCTCAATTTACATATTCCATTAGTGATATCAATTTGAAATGGGTCTCATATTGATGAACTTATATTGGCTAAATCAAAGATGAAAGATGCAAATATGGAAATAGTGTCGAAGCAAATATCATGCAATATTGAATAATCATGCCAAACATGATATAGGAGAAATATTATCTTGATAATAAAAAAAACCGTTTATTGTCCAAACAGGTATTACACCCAATTACAGGACAAGCAACATAATCAACACAGCAAACTTGGTACAAGTATGATGAATAATAAGTTACAATTGAATATAAATTCACATCTCAATTCTGAGGAGAGTATTTCTCAAACAATTTTTGAAACATCCTATTGATGTTGAAAATAGATCTATTCGATTGCAGATATTAATAAAATTCTTACAGATTCGGTATACGGGAGACTCGGCTATTATATTTGTTCTTGGTGTTGTTAAATAAAAACATGTTTCATTTTGGTTATTCAAGCGAGGCACATGGAAGTTGAGTTGTGACAATAGATCTGGGCAATCCACAAGATTATGTGTAAGCTTATAAATAAATATACATGAGTAATACTTTCTTCGGTCTTCGAGAGATAGTAACGAAAATTTACTAGAGTCTCGAGATCATACCCGTGTGTTCACCGAACACGCCCGATCGTTGCCTAAGCAGTGGGGAGACGTAAACACTAAACAGGCAGCTTCTCTCGTTATGAATATTGGCGCGTGCCAGAATTATTTTAGAGTCAAATTTGTCAATTTAATGGAAACACTCCTGTATTTCACGTAATTGTTGAGTTATTAGGATTCTGAAATTTACAAGAGTCATAGGTATAGAATATAGATATAGGTACCTACCAAAAATGAACTCTTTGACCAAGTGGGGACATCTTCAGTGATATATACACTGCTCATTGATTGTTTCTTTCTTGCTGCTGTGAATTGAATACTTACGTAAGATACGGGGGTGCTTTCATGTAAATTGAAACAAAATTTGATTCTTCAGAACTGAACATTTCTCAGGAACAATATGAATAGTCAGTGAATTGGACGTCCAGATTTCGAATCCGAAGTGATTTTCAACCTATCTTGCCTCCTAATATCATTTTCCGGAAATGTTGGTGGGTCCATGACCCGAGCAGTGTATTTCACTGATGATTACCTCACTTATTTGGTCATAGTTGATATATATATCTATCGCTCCTGAAAATTGAACAGTTACGTTAGATCATAGATTAAACAAACAATAGATAGGCAATGTATATGGGCCGATTTCTGCACGTGCGAATTTGTCGCCATCTGCATATTAGTAGACACACTACGCGTCTTTGAGGAAAAATCACAGTTTCCTATAACCATTAGGAGACAGCTAGTGAACATGAATGAATTAGGATAGCCAATGAAAACATTTTCAACTCCATTGATGAATGGTAGACAGGGGCGTGCTGCATCGACACACGAAAATTGCACACGAGCGGCAGTAGCGGCACACACATAAGGGCAGGAAACCTATGATTAAAATATTATATCTTTAAACGAACAATACTTGTATAATGTGAATCTCGGAAACCGTTCCAACAATTTTTATGAAATTTTTATGAATTTCGTATACATGGGGTTTCGAGGGCGATGAATCGATCTAGCTAGGATTCATTTTCAGAAAATGTATATACCGGGTGTAACAAGATCATAGCACGCCAAACCATTTACGACTCCAACGATTTTCATGAAATTCCGTATACAGAGGGTTTCGAGGGCGATAAATCGATCTAGCTAGGATTCATTTTTACACTCTTTATGAAGTTTACATAACGTTAACTGATCAACATTGTTTCAGCAATATAGTTTTGCCTACTACAAGTACCTCATTTTCCTACCGTTGGTGAAAATTTTCTAGTCACAATCAACTTTTTTTCAGGTAAACGATTTACTTGGCTGAGTTTTCTCAGTGCATGCAAATACTAGCAGATTAAGAATGGACACATTTCAAATATTGTTACACAGAGAAAAACGGTCCAGGTACACAAATACACTTGAGTAAAATTTGATACCCACAAATAAATTAATGAACTTTTGTACCATTACAATAGGTGAAAGTTTTTTTCTGATATCGACTTCCATATGTTCTCTGTATTCAACTTCGTTATGAAAGATGGAACACTTTTTCGACAGCTTTCTGAAAATTTTATTCTTGATGAATAGTTTTGTTCTATTCATATATGGTTTCTTGAGGAATGTTTTTGAAAAAGAAGTTGAAGCTATATCAACCATAGTCTTGAATTCGTCAGTGGGGTATTTTAGATGTTGTATGTTCTTACTATAATTTTTATTGATTATCAATAATTGTTTTTCGTCATTCATTATATTGTCGAAATCGTTAACTATCAAATTATTTGCACAAGGATTACATTTGAATTTATCGATACATTTTTTGCCAAGTTTATCCTGCAAAATAAGCATTCGAACAATCTTCCAGGGTTACAGGTGAATATTTATTCTCAAGTTTATTTTCCTCATTTGAAGAAGACGAGGATGATGGAATCACTTGATTTTCGAGTAAATTCTCTGTAGGAGGATTGTCAAGATTTTCCTCGACATTTTCATTCACATGACTAGTAGATGGAACTGTCATCAAATTAATATCATCATCTTCTTCACAATTACTTAAATCTGATGACTTCATTAAGTTCATTTTTGCTATGATACGAAAGGTACACCTGAAAGTTCTAACCGTTGGGTTTGGATTAAATCCACCTCTTTGCCTTACACTTGAAAAAGTATTTTCAATAACATCTTGATTTAATCTGTTGTTAATAAATAAGTGAATCCTAATTCTTTTTGTTCATTATAAATTCCCAATATTGAAGACAAAGTGATCAATATTCCATCAAGACAGTCAGGTCTAGAATATCCAGTTGTAGTAACTTTCTTAATTTCTATCAATGTATCTCTTGCAGAAATGATCGTATTTTCGACTATATATAGGGCGTTCATCGGACATTGCGCAACTATATGGATTCTTGGAATACAACTGCTTACTGTTCAAACAATCGAACAAATTATTCATCATCTGGAAGAAATCTGCTGTAGCAAGAGCAGTATCACTTTCTAATTGTTTGGTTTCATGACAAGTTCTAATAGCTGCGGCAATAGAATTGCTGAAAATTTGGAGTGCCAACCGACAATTCATTTTTTCGAATGCTGATGGATTCATGTGGGCAGGAGTGATCTTGAGTAAAGTCCTTGTTGTACTACATGTGTCAATATTATATGTCTTCCTCACATCATCAAACGATACTCTCCTATTCATCCAGATAAAGTCATGGTGCAATAAATTATTTCTAAAGTTCTTGAACAAATGGAGCGGATCAAAAATACAATATATTCTTCGGCCTTCGATTTCAAAATATGGTTTTTCAATGGAGACATGTAAATTCCTCATAGCTGCCTGGTTGTTTGTTCCCTGGTCACACACTACTGCCTTGACAATAAGGCCAGTATTTGTCACCTGTTGAATGGCTTTGATGATCACTTCTTTCAGGATGGTATGTTTCATAGCACTACCACAGACAAAATATCCTAATGGAATCTTCCACTTGGAATATAGTCCTCTGGCCAAAAGTACCATCACTTGTGTCCCCGTCGTCTTAGATCTACCATCTATTATTCCTAGGTCTTCGAATCCTTCAATTGTGTCCAATAACTTTGAATATTCAAATTTTCTTTTGATTTTCATTTCATCAAATTAAATACAAAATTTAATACCTTTTTAATGGAAAGTAAATTGCTTCCCAACCACGATCTCTCTTTTCGTAGAAAGGAGTAATCAAAAATCATGATGGTATTTAATTAGTATTTATGAATATGTTGGGTTGAAATATTCATCACTTGTGTATTTTTTCCTCCCTCAAGTTATTTCAATGTTACAATTTTATTTTACTGGCCCACTCTTGAAATATTCTGAACTGACCACGAAGGGTCCGAATTTACTTTTTTTTGAGATCGATAATTGACGTACTATTGATCCACCCTGTATAATAGAAAAATGGAAAAACCTATTGATGACTGAATTGCTCAAATTTTAGAGATTTAAAAAGTGTAGATTCTGGCTGGCTGTCACTGTTGGAATTCTCTAAATTCAATATCCCACTTGACTCGCCCTGTATATTCGATAATAGTTTTCAGTTATAGATTATTTGATAT